TTAGTTAAGACTGCCAAACAAAGCGTCCCTGATTACCCCCTGAAATGGAAGAATGGTGAGGTTTGACATGCCTGAGGCTTCCTTCTTGGAAGACCCTGCTCCCAAGCTGTGGTTGGTGACTTCTGCTGGCTAGAGTACCAGACTAATAGATCAGTATCTAGTGTTGGGTCCTTAGGTAGCCGGGTAGAGGACCTAACATATGAAACTAGGTTATGGGTAAAATCAAAAAAAGGGTTTTGATGACCAGGTAGTCTATCCCTTTCTGTGATACATATGGAGATTTGAGCCAGCAGCCATGAAGTGGTTTACTCACACAGTCTGTCCCAGAGCTGGAGCTGTCTGCCTCTTCTCCTAATTCTATCTAGTTCAGGGCTCAGCCTAGATCAAACATCCTGGAAACTCGGGGTCCTGATCACAGTGGTGACCAGAGGAGAGTGTGATGATAGCTTCTTACCACTGGCTTCTGTCTTCTTCAGGAAAAGCAAATAGAACGTTTGTCCTAAGGATATCTGGCGGCAGTACCACCTTCAAATTAGAGATGGCACCTGGCATAATGAGCCTGGGCTCTGCATTCTCCCTTCTTCAGCCATGGGCAAAGCAAACCACCCTCCTTAGTTCATCCATAGTCATTCCGGCCCTGCCTGAGGTGAGGTGCAGTGAAACCGAAGACCCTATTATGCACTGGACGTTGTCTCTGAGTCCCAAGGGAGAGCCCTGTTGCTGTGGCTAGTGTGAGTGGCTGATGTGCTCATTGATATGGGAGGCAGACTTGAGGTCGTGTTGCTGAGAAGATTCCATGACAGAACCCTTCTCTGCCCCGGCACTTGGTGTGAGTAATTCTCCCTCTCCACTGGCCCCGACTCTACCTCCTACTCCCAACCTCATCTCTGGACTCCAGTCCTGTGACTACAAGCCTTGCCTGCTGTAGCTCTGTTCCTATAGCTTGGCTCCTATGTCAGGGACTATCAGGATGACACCTTCCACTTGTCCAGAGATGAAGAGACCTGTCCTGGCAGAACTACCATGAGTGATTCTCCATGCCTAAGAGAGGGCCGAGTGGCTCGCTGTGAGCTTCCTGTTGCCAGCTGCATGTCATAAGAAGACTCGAGGTTAGCTTTAACAAACAGCGCCACTTAAAAACAGAGTGGATCTGACCTTTTGGAGACATTTTGGTGAACACTGATTAGTTTCAGGAGACGGTTTATAGAAATTTAAAATTTTTTAATTATTAAGCAGTAGACTTGATTTTTTTTTTTATTTAGAACGGTCTCAGTCCAGAGCAAAATTAAGCGGTAGGTTTGAGGGTTTCCCATATATCCCTTTCCCTCAGACAAGCACAGTCTTCTGATGCCACAACTCTCACCAGAGTGGTGCATTTGTTACAATTGATGACCCATGTGGACACACCACTGTCACCCAAGGTCCATGGTTTTTATGCTCCTTTACCTTTGGCATACATTCTGTAGACTTATGGAAATTTACAATGACGTGTATGGACTATTATAATAGCAAACAGATTATTTCTTTGCTAAAACTTCCCTATGCTCCCGATCCATCCATCCCCACTCCAGACCTTGGCAACCAGAGATCTTTGAGGCATCTTTATAGTATTTCCTGTTCTAGAGTCAGATGTGGGGAATCGTGCAGACTGTGGTCTTTTCAGCATCGTGTGTCCCACTTAGCATCGCGCACTGAAATTTTCTCCATGTCTTTTCAGGGCTTGATGCTGCATTTTAATGCTGAATAAGACTCCATACACAAACTGCACCCTAATTATTGGAATTTTTAATAAGCAAATAGACTTCTGTTAATAGAACTTGTCTGTTTTACCTAGCACTTAATATTGGCACCACTCATTACCATGTAGATCTAATATTTCCTCTCATTTTTAATTTGCTCACCTCAGTAGCCCCATGAAGCAGGTAAGAATGTCATGACTAAAAGATGAGAGAAGAAGAAGATGAAAAAGACGGTGTCTTTCTGTCTGTTTGCCTCTGTGTCTCTAACCATATGTCCCCTTGTGGGTCTGATTATGCTTTTGTCTATTGGTCTGACTCATTCTCTCTTCCTCTTTCAGGCCTCCCATCTTCTATCTCTTTCTTTTGTTTTTTTTCCTTTTTATCATTGAATGCATATTTGATCCATGGACTAGTTGAACAGAATTACCTTTTGTTAATTCATGAAGCCAGCGCCTGTCCTTTGTGCTAGCCTGGCAGTGTATGCACGAGCAAACTGGCCGTGCATAGTTGGAGACAGAAAACTTCTCAATGTCAAAACCAGAGACCCGAAGTGAGAGGCCAGCCTCTGACCTCCCATCAGAATGCAATAGTGCTTTGAAGTTCTCCTGAAATAGAGAATGAATATGTATGGCGCAGGCATTCAATAAATGTTTGTTGAATTGACTGCAGTAAAAATGATAAAAGTGACATTACCGAATACATTTTTTAAAACTTCATTACATGTGCTGGAAGGTGTTTTTGACATTTTGTCTACATCTTTAGCTGCAGCCCCAGTGCCTGGCGCCTCTGATAGGGTTCCTTATGCTAGCTACCATGTTAGGAATCACCAGCTGCAGCAGTGGAACCCGGGCTTGCCTTTGGTCATTTGATTCTAAGGAGGGAGGTGAGCTCCCTTTAGAACAGCCATTGGAGTGTGCCTATTAGTCAGCATATACATCTCGGGGAATTTTGTACCAATCATAGAAGGCAGAATCTTCTTCCTCATTATATTTTGTAACAGATGAGAAAAGTGAGGCTCAAATATATAATCTACCCTGATTTTCTACCTAGTAAGATGTAGGATAGAAATTTAAATCCAAGTTTATCAAAACTTATAATCCATGTAGGCATGATGTTCTTCTCTTTTCTGCACACATGTGGAATCATACGTCACAAGAACTGGTGATTTGCCGTGTGTGTGTGTGTGTGTGTGTGTGTGTGTGTGTGTGTGTGTGTTCGTTCCTGTGTGCACAAGTGCACACTCACATGTGTGCGTATGTATGTAGAGGCCAGATGACAACCGTGGGTGCCACTCACTTTTTTCAAGTAAGTGTGAGATGAGGTCTCTTATTGGTCAAGAGCTTCTGGGGTAGCCCAGGCTGCCTGACCAGTGAGCACTTGGGGCCTGCTTGTCTCTCTCCCCTTAGCGCTGGGATAACCATTCAGTTACTGCTCCCATCTCTTCTGCATTGTTTTTGGTGATTGAACACAGGTCCTCCCTCTTATAAGGCAACATTTTTTACCAGCTGAGCCATATGCCCAGACCTGTGCGTTTGTTTAAATTTGGTTAGCAGTACTAAATATCCTTGAATATTTTACCTTAGGGTCCATTTTGAATCTTAAAACATTAGCCATGTTTTCAGCATCTTGAGCAGCCCTGAGAATAAGTGACAGTTTAGGGATCAGCGCTAAACAAGATATTTACACCACCGCCTCTAAGGCTTAGGGAACATTGTGGAACTGGGGGGTATGTAAAAGTAAGACGATTGGATGAAGTGTTATAAAATGCCATCCTGCAGACTCGGCATAACCATTACCATCAATCAGTAACTCACAGCAGCTGCAGTTACCTCTCCTGGGCCTTCACAAGACTGGCCTTGTCAACAGACATAGACCAAGAAGGGACTTGCAGAGCCCTACACCTTACCGCTGAGCTATTGATAGAGTTTTGTAGAGGAGCGTCATTGTCTTTGGTTACATACATACCCACTGCTGAGCTCAGTGGGATAGCCCCAAACCTATGCTCACACAGATAGTCCTGGTTAAATGCAATGCATCAGAAAATAAAATGAACAGACATGAAATGTGAGAAAGAGATGTGTATGAATGAGGAGATGGGGTAGACAAGGATATTAGGGGGATGAGAAAGAGTTCGGGGTCAGGGCAGTCTGTATAGGTTACACACATGTGTGAAATTATCAACAAACAAATTTAATTCATAAACAGCCCAACACATTAAGCATGAAGTTTTAAATTGCCAGAAGAGACCGATAGCTCATGGTGCCTCAACCATGTTTTGGTTTCGAGTTGAAGTCACTCAAATAGATTGGATCGATACAGAAGGTGTGTGTGTCCACCTTCTATACTTCCTGTTTGCAGTTTCAGCTCTTTATTTGACAATGTTTCCCCACATCAGAAACCCCCGAGGTCTACATAACCGTTATGTGTCCCAGAGTGCTCTGGATCTTCAAAATCTGACGAGCTCCTGTAAGTAGAGAGAGAGAGATTTCTCCACAGGTTGCACTGTTGGTGCCCTGTAGTTCTGAAGAGACAACAGTGTGAGAGTATGGCTGTGTACATGCCAGCATTCACCCAGTGGGCTCACAAGCTAAATTATGCCATCAAGACCTCAATGTGGAAGACGATTTCATGATGAAAAGTAATGATACATACAATATGAGCATGTTTCTTCTGAGGGGAAAAAAAAACACGCAGATTTGTGATGTTTCATTTACTTCTCAACAGAATCCATTTGGCTATTCCATCTATTGACAACTGTGAGCTCTTGGTGGCTGGGCCACTTTTGGTGTGACACTAAGCTTTGTGCAGCTAGGGGGAGTACCTAGCTACGGCATAGATACAGGACGGATGCTGACGTTTGTGTGTGCTGAAAATATGGATGAGGACAAGATAACGGAATCTTCTTCCTGACCTGGGCATTGTTAGTGTATCAGCCAAAGGTGTCTTTGGCTGCTGCTGGTGTTCTCTCCCCTTCCAAATGCCTCCTGCCAGGACCTGGGTTTTTAAGCTCTCACATACATACATACACACCAGGCTTGCATTTTTGCCCTTTGTGCCCAAGTGAGCCTGTCTGTCTCCTTTTATAACTTAGTTCAGGAACTTCCATTATGACCATTCGTGAGTCTCCAGGCTCCCTGCAAGGGGGACTGCATTATTGTCAGGAAGCTTCCAGGATTTCCTAGTGGGAGATATTTGTGGAGAAACAGTAAGCAGACACCAGGATGGGAAGGATGGTGGAGGTAATGGCCCCCAGGAGACTCGCCTTTTCTGGACAAACAATGTTCATGGCAGATGCCTCTTCCACCTGACAGCTGTTCCCTTGAGTTCCTGGCTTGTCGATCCTTTTCCTAAACCAGTATAAGAACAGAGAGCAATGTTATCAATGTGCTTTCCTTTGTGTGGAACCCCAGGGGGCTCCTTCTGCCCACTGTCTGGGGCTTTTGCACCTACTTCTGTGGTGGAAGCTTAGCATTACCGCCTGTTTAGGTCCCTTGCTGCATCACCAGCTATACCGAGCTTGGGGGCTATCAGAAATCCAGACACTGGTTGTTTGCTTTGTACAGAAAATGTAAAGCCAGACCCACCTGCAGTACCTCCCCCCCCCCCATACACTCTGTGGCTGCTGCTGCATAGAGAGCATTTGTTTTTCAAGAGTCATTTTTATTTATTGGTGCATCAGGAAAAATACAAATACACTCAGCCACCCATAATTACACCATGTGAAGATACGGAGCTCTCACATTTTGATATGTAGCCTTCTAATCTATAGGCCATACATTTATTTCCAGCTAACAACCAACATATTTCAACTACCACGGGTGACACTTTATATTGTTTTATTCCCTGCTTTTCTTTTCTTTTTTTACTAAGCATATTATAAAATATTTCTTCGCCAGTAAAATTTTATAATATCTTAAAGGATAATGTTACATTTTAAGAATACACACCTTCCATTCAATCTCCTGAGTACTTTCACACACCTAGTTCTTTCTAATCATTGGTATTACTAAGGGAAACATCAAGGCTAATCCTTGTGCACATTTGTGCATATTTCCCCTGAGATGTTTCTAGAATTTAGATCGGTAATTCAATTGATTAAAAAAAATTGAGACTTTTGAAACATAAAATATTGACACTTACGAATGTTAGTAAGGATTAAATTTCATTCTCTATGTTGCTTACATAGTTTCAAACTTTGACTCTTTTCTTGGTAGTATTATTGCCACAATTTCAGCATTTCTTCCATGTCTTGTCATTTTAAGAAAGAAGCTCTCAAACAAGATGAAGTCATTCATTGTACAAGTGCTTGCCAAAACTTTGTTTAAGGCACTGTACTAGTCAGTGTGACAGAGGAGAAATTCCAGAGTGCGCAGGCCACAACCGTCTTCAAGTCCTAACTCGGTCTCCTTTTCTTTACCCACTACAGAAAGCACTACCCCATTAACAAACAATTGAAGATTTTTGCTAAACTTCTTCCTTTGTTTTTATTTCTTTATGCTCTAAAATATTAGTTACTTGGTCAAATTTTAAGATACACTGTCAAGACGAAAACAAGGCTAATTTAGCACGAACATGGCTTACATTTTTTTTCCCACCCTAGATGTCTTTTTGTTTTTTCAAAAAACTGACACATGCTTATTTTAGTAAATTAGGAAAATCAGAAAAGTATAAAGAAGAAAATAAATGACTCATAACCAGACCATTCAAAGACAATTATTGTTAATTGGTGTGTTTCCTTCCAGGCCTTTTCTTTGTGTGTTTTTCACAAAACTGAGATCATAGTACATGTGCAATTTCCCAAGCATATAATGTAAACATTTCTCTATGTTATCAAAACATCTTTGAAAACATTATCTCTAATGGCTCCATAATATGCCATTATGGAAATGAATTAAATATATAAAATACAATGATTAATGGTGAAAGCTCCATAGTAAAGCCTCATGGACTCTAATTCTGAGGCTGCTGTTGTCTGGCGTCCATCTCTGACAAGGTACTTGACTTTTCTGTGACTCAGTTTTCTTAAGGATAAATATAGTTCTAGCCCATACAGGTTCTATAAGCATTGCATGAGATAATCTAAGTGGGGCTTAGTTATGAGCATAGTTCATAATGGGCATTTAGTGAATGACTTCTACTATTGTTTCTTAAGCACTCTTCCCATAGTTAGGTTTGGTTTTCAACCAAGAGGCATTATTTAAAATCACTGAAGACTGTAATTGTTCACAAACATGTTCGTCTTTAGAATGTTTTCTTAGGAGAGAATCAGAGTCATAAATAGGAGCACCCTCAAGGCTCTGCCTATTGCCAGAACATGTATCTGTCTCTATCTCGTGTCCAGTGCAATGCTGTTACTCTAAACAGACAGCTGGTTAGGTCCCAATCAGGATCACCTCTGAGGGTTTCTCACCTCCTGCTACCTCTTCTCTGGTCATGCTCATCTGTCTACCCCAAAAGACACATAAACATCATAATTTTGGGGTCATTTCTAACTCCTTACCCTCTTATTTTTTCATATGCAAAATGAAGTTCTCAACAGATTCTTGTGACAATTATGTAAAATGATTTACATATGTGCAGATTTGTATATGGTAAGCCCTTGCTGTTAACTGTTATTAGTAAAATAATAATTATGCTCCTACTAGGAGTATAGGAAGTGATCAGTCTCCCTGCTCCTCACTATTGTCAAGCATAATTATTAAAAAATGTATTTTCTTAAAATTTATTTAAAGTAAATTTCTTTTTAAAAGCTCATACATGGAGAGACATATTTTCGTGTTTTCATTGATGGTTTGGGGGCTATTTTTGGAGTCAAACTTTTGCCGAACATTGTATTTGTCTGTAGTTCTGTGTGTGTGAGAGGGATGAGGGGGACTTGCAGGGGGAGAAAATGAGAAGAAAGAGATATGGAGAGTTGTTTTGTTTCTTGTTGTGTTGAACTTGTTTTTATCTCCCTGTGGTCACTGTGTGTTTCTCGAGCTTCCATGCCATCTGGTTAATTACCCATTTAAGAATTTGGCTGGAAAGCATTGTTAAACTTATGAGTCTGTCATTCCTGAAACTCACTGCTTTTTTTTTTTTATTTTAAAATTCTAAAAACATTGGCCATTCTTCTACCTCTGGTACAGCAAGCCATCTACAGGACTGCCCGAAACTTCAAGGAGTGATGGAGTCATCTGCAGAATCTCTCATCTAGGCTGAGAAACACTGGTGAATCAGTCACCCAGTCACTGACTCTCAGGCATACGTAGAAAGAGGCTGTGACATGGACCTGTTTGGGTCTATGTCCTTGTTCCTTTCTTGTTCTCATGTCCCCTAACTGGGTCCCTGACTCATTTTTCCATAGTACAGTTCTCCCTTTGACAGTCTGCTCATGTCTGATGGGCTCCTAGAATGACAGTCTACCTGCCATTCTCCTTCTTTGTGGGCATCACAACTCCAGTTGAGAATGTCTGCTCTTGGCCCCTCTGAAAGCAGCCAATGGTGTGCCAGGATCTGAAGGCCACAGACTAATAGGCCCAAGGTCCCATTGCAACCTTTTCTGAAATAGCCTGCCAACCTTTCCAATCATTGCTTATCATAGCTCCAGGGACTTGTGCATACCTATGTATATCTGGGTACCAGATTTTCATATAGTATTTGTAGGGTAAACATTTCCCTCCTAGAAAACACATCATTCTTCTTGAAATTTTAGAACTCAGACTACTTAACAACCAGGCCCTAATTATGTTCAAACTTTCCTTCACTTGCCATAATAATAATAATGATAAATCATGATAATATGAATAATGCCTACTGGATATCTACTTTATAGAAGGCATTGTGCTAAGTGGTTCTTAATCACTTCCTAATGACATCGTCAAGATGAGGAGAAAGGATTGGCTGTATTTTTTTTTTTTTACATTAGCAAGGGTAGCCAAGCTCAGGGAAGCTGAGTAGATGACTTCAGGTCACAGAGATAAATGGTAGTGCTCTGAGTTGAGTTGAGACAGCCTGGTTTCTGAGATCACAAACTCAACCGTAAGATCAGAGAGGAATTAATCTGGGATCCCCCATGTGGTTGCCCCTAATAGATGATCTCCCAGATTCTGTCTGTAATTGCTATGTGGCTTATCAGAAAAGTGGCTGGTTTCCTCCTCTTCGGGGCTATCTTTGCAGGGTGAGAACCTCATTAGACCGTTGTGGGATCTCTTCTTTAATGTCTGGCCCTCCTCTTGCTCTGTCCTTTTACTCACCTCTTAGCTTCCTCCTGCCCTTCCTGGAAGGCACTGCACATTCTAGTTTGTTTTTTCACCTTTATATCTACTGTACTGGCATCTAGTCTTGAAGGTAAAGAACTCAATGTCTTCATCTTTAGGGTCTCCAATAGATGAGTCTGTATTGGCTGCTATAAAAATCATTGGAGGCCAGGTATCTTAGAAACAATTGAAATTTTTGGAATTTGAAATTTCTGGAAGCTGAAGAGTCTAGGATCTAAGCATTGGCAGATTTTATGCCTAGTAAGGGCCCATTTCCTAGTTACTGGTAGGGCCTTCTCATGCCCGCATGTGATAGATGGTATGAGAGATCTCTACTTGTACATAATATTTGTACATATATTATGTAATAGGTCTATTTGTACATATTACTTATACACATATTATCTTATACGTCTCCACTAAGTGCCCCATCTCCTAAAGTCCCCGCTTTAATAGAGCCACATAAATGGGAATTAATTTCAACCTATTGATTTAGATGGGGGAACACAAATATTAAGTTCTTAACACTCTAGCAATGAGCAATCCATAGTATACATTCCTCAATTTTTTTTTCACTTCAAGGGAGTTGAGGTTAATATGGATGTGATTGTCACTGACCTCCAGCCATAATACTGCACAGACCTCCATGTGTGGACAGCAGGGAGTCGAGGATGAAAGTCTGAAGTGCCCACTGGTTCTGGCTTTCTTTCCACTGCCTGTTTCAGTGTGTGTGTGACATCAGGAGATGTGGAGAAGCAGATTCTGTGTCTGGCTTTAGTCCTTTTCCATAGTCTAACTACAGAAGATTCTCAGCCGTGGCAGCTTTAATAGTTACAGTTTGACTATTTGTAAGCAAACCCAAATTTACATGAAATGTCATAAATTGTCATTTTGCTGAGATAGGGCTTTGAAAATGCCACGCTGTTAGGTGGGGGTGTGGTTGTGAGTTACTTAGATGGTTTCATGATTTGTTGTTTTCAGCCTATTGTGATAATGTATTTTATTGAGGTGATGATACGCTACATCAGGATTCATGAATGTGGGGATTGTAGAAGTCTCTGGATGCATCCTGCACAAATACCAAGGGTTACCCCGTGTGCATGGTGGCCAGCAAAGTGAGGCCACTCTTCTGATCCTGCTGCTTAATATAAGCAATAAGCAGGGAAATAACTTCACTTTTCTACAGCAGCTCTGCAGGTCAGTGGCAGCAGTTCCCTAGGAATCTGAAGGGCTTCATGTGCACAGAAAAAAGTAGCAGGACCAGTATTGTCCAATTAGCCCATGTTTCATTCACCTGCTTCAAATACTTTTACTGCGTAGTTCCAGCTGCTTCTCTTGGACTAGACTGCTATTATCCTGAAAAAAAAAAATGGAAATCTTGGGTTTTCATCTAGAAATATTAAGGGAATTTAAGGAAATATTTTCATTTTCCATTCAGACTTTTAATATTGCATATACCCTCTGTGACTGTGACCTACCTAGATCTAATATAATCGTTTATTCAGCAGTCTCAAGGGTTAGCTTCTTTTATTCCTGGTCTCAGCAGCCATGGTGTCTGCTGCCGCTAAGACTCTCTGATGACAGCAAGACCCGAGAAATCTCGGGGAGATAGAGTGCCACTTGCCGACAGAGTCCACTATCTTGAAAGTGACTCCTGGAGTCACTACTAAAAGCAATTTCTCAAAGTTTATTGTCTTAGTTAGGGTTTCTATTGCTGTGAAGAGACACCATGACCACAGCGACTCTTATAAAGGAAAGCATTTAATTGGGGCTGCCTTACAGATCAGAGGTTTAGTCCATTGTCATCATGGTAAATAGCATGTAGCACAGACAGGTACTAGAGAAGGAGCCGAGAGTCTAATCCAGATCTGCAGGTGGCAGAAAGAGTGACATGGGGCCTGGCTTGAGCTTTTGAAACCTCAGAGCCTAGTGACACACTTCCTCCAACAAGGCCACACCTCCTAATAATGTCACTCTCTCCCCATGAGTCTATGGGTACCATTTTCATTCCAACCACCACTTGTATGCTCGAATCTTAGAGGGCTCACCCTGCTACCATGATGGGAGGGGAAAGGGAGGAAGTCCAGGCATCTTGGTCAGCAGAGGTCATCAGTCATAATGAGGTCCTCATCCTGGTGTGACTTCAGATAAGACCATCATGGGGTGACAAAAGAGACTGTGTACTGAAGTTCACACAGTCATTCGTAATCGTTACTTTGGTCCATTCAACAACCATCCTGTGAAATTATTTTCTGAACTTCTCAGCATAGATAAGGAGCCTCTTTTTAGCCACTTTCTTTGAGGAAGCTTCTCAGAAATAATAAATCCACAACTGGAACTTTCTAAGGGCCTGTCAGATCCCACTTCATGAACTCTACCTATTATGCCACCAGTTTTGTGTGAATGAGCAACGTGGGACATCTCTACTCTTACCCTGGTTGTGAGTGCCATAAACCTGGATAAACCCTGAGAATCCTCTGTGGTGATACTGTGTTCCCCAATATATTGTGCATCCTAATAAACTTATCTGGAGTCAGCAGTTCAGCTGAGATCCATTTGGATGAGGACACAGAAACTTCCAGTCTGAGGAAACAGGAGCAGCTGAGGAATTGGCAAGGTGAGGTGGCTGTGGCTTGTTCTGCTTCTCTGATCTTCCAGCCTTCACCCCAATCCCTGGCTTCAGGTTTGATTTTATTAATGAGACCTTTTAAGATTCGTGCTACAGTACTCTGTGACCAGCATCCATGTTGCTATTTGCAGACCTCCATGGAAACGATGAAGAGGAATGGAAGACTATCACTTCCCACTGTTTATTGGTGCCTGTGTCACTTGGTCTAGAGTGTCTTGTCCCTCACAGTGTTCCAGGGCCATTCCTGACCTTCAGCGGACAGTAGGTGTACAAGAACTCTGAAGTATCAAGTCCCTAGTCCTTAAGGAGGCAGGGACAGCCAGACCAAGAGTGCTGAAAGTCCTTGGGCCAATTATTTTCATTGTGGGCATCTTCTCTGTCTGCCCCAGTGAGCTGAAGCAACATTTTTTTTTTTTGAGTGAGTCTAAAAAGGGCTGAAAAGTACGGACTTAACTATTGTGATATTTTTCCTCTTCTGTGAGTTGGAATGCATTTTCTTGTCTTGGAAAACTTCTGTGAAGAACAGAGGTTTGAAGGAAGGGTCTTTGAGAGCTTATCTGTGCATTTGTGGAGCATGGAACTGGCCACTGATATGACTCCATCTCCAGTTCACTCCATTGGTTCCTTAGAGAGAGATGGAGTTTCATTCCCCCCCCCACCCCTTCCAAGTCATAAAATCAATATGCCATGCCTACCATCTAGGCTCAAGAACCAGCATAATACATTTTCTAGCCTTTTCTGAAGACATCTGAAAGTTACCCATCAGAGCAAAGGTTGTTGACACCTTGGCCCACTCATCCTGGAGTGGCACAGCACAGGGCATCTGCTTCCTGCTGCATACACATCCAAATGCCCTTTCTCCTGAGGGCTAGCCCTGCTGTCTCTGAACCTTCAAAGTCAGGCCCTCGCCTGAGGCTGAGGAGACTTCAGATTTTTATGGCTTCCGCATCTGAGCCAGGGTATAAGCTGGCTGATGCCGGTCCCCTAGGTGGTCACAGAGGGTGACTTCTTCTCTCCGCACTGTAGACAGACCTAACAGTTGGAGAGGAACTTCTCAGGCACTCCTCAGCTGGATGCTGCATTGTTAGTGAGTGAAAACCAAGTTGAGAAACAGGACGTTGTAAAATATTAACGGCAAGCTCTCCAGATGCTGGAGATGGGGATGATATTTATTTTCTTCTTTGGACCTTCCTGGGTTTTTTTTTTTCTTCTTTAGACTTTCTATAGCGAATCTGAAAGTGTATTTTAAATTATATTTCTAAGAGATGCACTCAAGATGTACTGCATGAAGGCAAATAACTGTTCCGACATTCCTTCACACTTGCTGGCTTCAAATTACTGCCTCTACTCTCAGAGCCCGGCGATTTGGATGGGGGTGGGAGCCAGGAGGGAAAAGAGAGGAGGCCGCAACGTGGGCCATTGAATTTCTTCTCTTCAGACATTGCTCTGGCAGCTAATTCCAGGGTGCTCATCTGTATGGTGGCAGCGCGACTTTCATGTTTTCCCCAAGGTATTTTATGGCCTTTTTACAGTGGCGCTGTGAATAACTTCCTCTCCCTAACTTCCAAACAGTGAAGAATCTCAGATCATTTCTCTTGCCTCTTCACTTGGCTTTTTTTCCTTCCCCTGTGTGTGAGCCCCATTCCATAATGCTAGTCCGCTCACCCCACTCTCTCCCCCTTCACCTCCTCTATTCTCCTCCCCCTCCTCTTGTGACTCGCTCCTTGCCTCACTTCCTAATCCCTGAAGGGAAATAAAGTCCACTTGTGGGAGCCAGCGGACACCGTCAGCCCACACTATGTTGAGGACAGACTGCAGATCCAGGCTCCCTGTTTGAAGCTAGGTGGCCGCAAAGTTCCAGGGACCATTTTGACCCTTCGCTTTTCTAGAGGGAAATTCAAGTTTCAAAGCCAAGTACAAGATGGGGGTCTGGTCCATGAGTTCCAGGTGTCCTCCCTATAGGAAACTTGGTAAACTTAGTACCAAACAGAACCCTCAGGAGGGTGACTGGAAAGACAAGTGAGTCTTGCCCACTGTTGCCTTCCATGACTGGCCTGTCATTCTCCAGAGAATGTGACAGGCATCCATGTCCTGGTTCATAGCTTCCTGTTGTGTTTAATTCAGGATAGTTAACAGGATCCCCAAAGAGTTCTGGGCTGGGCAGTGTTGTGATACCATAAGGAATAGAATAAAAGCTGTGGTCTGCTAGACCCCAGACTGCTCTGGCCTCCAACAGTAACCTACTCTCTTGAACTAGTTCTCTCTACCCATCTACATTAGGCCTCATCTCAAGCATCAACTTCTCAGGTGTCTTCTCCTAGCCTTCTCAATCAAGTTGAACCTCCCCCTTCCTGTACTAAAGAGATTTGCATCCTCTCTTTCACAACACACAGGGCAAGGCTTTGCAGAAGTGTGGGTGGCTATCTTCCTTCCAATGCTTCAACTCTTCACTACTGCTCTCCACACTCTGGGCTTCTTGTCCTGAAGCTCCAAGAGGGTTTGAATGACTTTTATTGTCCACTTAACAGGCCCCAGCATCATCTAGGAAAGGATCCTCAGGGGGATATTTAAATTAGGTTGATGGAGGAAGGAAGCCCCACCATAAATGTGGGTGGAGCCACTACATAGCCTGAATGAAAAGGAGAAAAGTCAGCATTGGCATCCATCAGTCTCTACTCCCTAAATGTGGGCACAGTGCAGTCTCCTCCCTCAGGCTCCTGACTTCCACTTCAGGACAGGCTGTGCCCTGGAACTACCAGCCAAGTCAAAGCCATTTTTCTCTATGGTGCTTTGTCAGGGCATTTTCTCACAGCAGGAAGAGTGACCAAGACAAGGGTGATGTTTGCTGCTGCTCGCCAAGGCAGCTTAACTCCCAAGAGCAGAGCTAGATGCCTAGGAGATGTTCAGGACCTGGTCATTGAATGAATAAATCTTAGCTTGTGTATGCTTTGGTTCCCAGGCCTTGGGCATGTTACTCTGTCTCTTCGAGTCTCAGTCCCCTCTTTGGAAAATGGGAGTCATAAGATTCCATTTGTTGCAAGACGTTTCACAGGGGTCTGGCATGGGCACAGTAGGTGCCATCTACACGTGCGCGCGCACACACACACACACACACACACACACACACACACACACACAGTATTGCTTCTTACATTTGTTAAATTTTGGTGTTTTGTTTGTTTGTGTGTTTTGTTTGTTGTTTGTATTTTTTCATCCCCCCCCCCCCCCCCCCGCTCCAGAGCGTTATGGAAAGCATCGGATCTATAGTTTTCAAGCTTCAGAATACGTGTGTCCCTGTTTCTTTCCCTTCCTGTTTTCTTCCCTACTTCTGTGGTTAGGGAGGCACAAAAGGGAGAGACAGAAGAGAAAGCGACCAGCGTTCTGCTGCCTCACTGGTGAGATGACCTTGGGTAAAGCATGTCCCTTCCTGTGTTTCAGCTTCCTTGACTGTGTGATGGGAAGACACAGACAAATCGCCATTAAGGCCCTCCCAACTGTCACTCTGGAGCTCCTCGATAGGGGTCAAGGGTACCAGTGACAGCTGCTGTTCCCAGGACAAGATGAATGGAAACAGAAGGGAGATGCAATGTCAGAGATGGGGAAAGGAAATTAGGCTGTTGACCGATCTGTTTTAATCCAAGCCAAATTTATTTTAGTAATGCAGGTGAAGACTGCTTTAAAATGTATCACCATGACAGTGCCCCCTTAGTAACAGCACGAGGATTTCCGGTGTACTTTTGTTCAAAAGAGCCCGGGGGCTTTGTGTACACGGTCTCATTAATTCTCAGAGCATCTGTAAAGTTGCATGGGAAATCATGATGAGTTCTGTTTTACATGCAGAGAAACAAAGCTTCAAAAAAAAAAGGTTAAGCAGCTTTCACAAGGTCATGAAGGAGCACCCTCGCTCCCAGAAACCTGGGTTCTACCTAGCACACCCATCTGTGAGAGCTCTTCTTCTGGTCTCTGGGTGGTGGGCATGAGAGATTCTGGATTGTGGCCTCTTGAACAGTCTTTTTGCTGAACTGAGGAAGCTGCTAAGCACATGAAGAGGGATAGAAAGGACTTGAAGTTCTTAGAGAAATTTCCCCACCTCACCATAAGAATTCACTTGGACCAGCCAGTGTCCCATCTCAAGGGCCCAGGGGCATTGAACTTATGGTAGTTGCCATGGAAACAGTGTTGCTTGCGCCTAAGGCTATGGAGAGCCAGCTGTCATGACTAAAGGTGTGTATTTCTGGGTCACCTTCCTGGCTGACCCAAAGTACTGTGTCTTCATTTACAGGAATACTGGAAGCCTCTGTGATCTGATCCATCTCCTTCTGGGGTATTGAATTCAATGTCCCAGTTCTCCAAGGAAATAGCTTTCCTAGGCGGTTTGTGTTGCTGAGTGATATTCCTGACTCACCCACAAATCTGAGGATGGCAATTATGTGCTCAACCCAAATGGTTTTTGACTGCTAGACTGTGATGATCACTCTTCATCATTGATTGGGCTGAATTTGGACACGTCTATGAATGTGCTTCTAGAGGGGTTTAAGTAAGAAAAGGTCCACTTCACCACCCCACGTGCTCAGGTTCCAGACTGAATAAAAAGGGAAAAACATGGAGCCACTGAGTACAAGCATTCATCTCTTGTCTGTCTGTCTGTCTTTGTCTGCATCCTAACTGTTGACAAAATGTGACCAGTCACCTCTCATGGTCCTGCCACTGTGCCTTCCTACCATGATGGAGCCTTAGGAGCCAAATAAAACCCTTCTTCCCTTAAGTTGCTCCAGTCAGTTTTTTTTTCTTCACAGCAGTCAGAAGAGCAATACACTGACCTTGTGTAGGATCGTTGTGTTTTCTGAGCCTTCATCTCTACATCCTTAAAAAAAAAGAGGTCAACCAACAGGGTCATTGTGGATATCATAGAGTGGATGGCCCTGGAGAGCATGTTGTGGCAGATGGACAAGTAGTTACTAACACTTTTCCATGGTGGAGATCCCTTCCCACATGTGGTCCATGCCCTCCCCCAGAGTGTTTGCGGCATGGTCTCCGTGGTCGCCCTGGTAACTGTCGCTTCCAAGCTCAAAACAGGTCAAGAGAAGAGACAATTGTTCTTGAATGGTGGATGGCCTCTTGTCCAGCATCCCTGGACTGCTAGACTCACGGTGGGTGATTCTCCCTGTCACTACCCCCTTGCTCCAGAAGAGAAAGGCCTTTTGTTGATGGACTTGATTCTGCAGGCTGCCCCATCTTTGTGTCACTTTCAGCGCATTAATTATTTAGGACCTGGTGAAGCTCTCTGAGATCACAAGATGAAAAGGCCCAGTGGCAGTTCAAAGTCTCTCTTTTGATTATTATTCTAGTCAACATATTTTCGGGGGAGAAAATAGGTTTGAGATCACAGTGGTGGGAATTTCATAAGGAGCAGTGCAGAAGCAAGCCGTTGAAACAGACCCAGAACAGGCAGTCATGGTGCCCTGTGAAGGGAGGCCCTGGGGATGTGAGCATGGGAGACACGTGTTACGAATCAGGTCACCTAGAGAGTGACGCACTCTCTGTTGCTCTCTTGGATTAGTGAACTGCTGGTTAGTCTTCTACGGCTTCTGAAATCTAGATTATGGAGGATTGGTGCAGTGACCAAGCGTTTCAAGAGCAAGAGAAGATGGCTCACAGGCGGGTCAGGAGCAGCTTGGGACAATGAGGTCATCTCTAGTTAAGACAAAATGACATGGATTAGGATGGTGGGGTGGGGGAGAGAGAGAGAGAGAGAGAGAGAGAGAGAGAGAGAGAGAGAGAGAGAGAGAGAGAGAGAGAGAGAAACTTTGAAAGAAAGGGCATCAAGTGCCATAGTCTTCATTATTTGACTTTGGCCATGAGTTGTCAATCACTAGATGCCTACGTAGATATGATATCTCAGCTGATGAAATAGATTCATGCCCTGATTTGACTTTGCCTTTGATGCTGTGCACCCTATTCTACACAACACAAAACTACAGCTTCCATGAACATTTTTTCCTAATCTTTTCCTCGAGCTTTGTAAGAAAGACAACAAAAAATGAAATTCCACATGAACAACAGATCTGAAACTTAGGATCTGTGAATGAAGTTAATATCCTATTGTAATGCACGGTCATAAGCATCCAAGGTGGCTGATACAGCATGATTGAAGAGTTGCCTAAATGCCTGTCCTTGGGGGCCTTAATGGCCAAGCAGGCAGGGATTAAAGTTCAAGATTTGCTTGGCACAAGTTTGGGGTCCACCTAAGGGAAGATGGGGGAACTTTGGGGTCATGGATTTGATTCATCTTTAAAAAAATGGATTTCCCAGGTGGTGACACATACATATAGTCCCAGAAAGCTAGCCATCTATGTAGCAAAAAAAGGGAAAGAAAGAAAGAAAAAAATGAAAGAGAATAAAGTTTTTAAAAAAGGCTATAGGGAGGCAGAGATGGGAACAGATATCTAGGTATATATCAGATTGGGCAAAAGCTTAGAGGCACAGTATCATAGAACATGTGAGAGGATAGGAATGGGGAAAAGATGAAAAGGTTATCTATTGCTGTAATAAGACACCATGACCAGGACAACTTATAGGGAATACCTTTATTGGGGCTCATAGTTCAAGTGAAGTCCATGATCGTTGTGATGAGCAACACAGTAGCAGACAAGCAGGCATGTGACTGGAACATTATCTGAGGGATTACATCTGATCCACAAGTAGGAGGCAGTGACACACCCACTCCAAGGTCGCATCTCCTAATCCTTCCCAAACAGTTTCATCAAGTGAGGACCAAACATTCAAATGCATGAGCCTGGGAGTTGTCATTCTCATCCAAACCACCAGGAAGGTGTCAAACGTGGTCAACATGTATATCAAGGCTTCCCTGTACTATGTACAGGATTCCCTTCCTGGTGGATCTCTAGCTACCTTTCAGCAGTAGTTAATTTGGGTAATTCACTCTGAGAGCAGGGGCCACAGTAGTGATTTTCTTTGTGTTTTGTGGTGTTCTTTAATGCTGAGCTTTTTCAAGGAGTCCCTGTTTTCCTGGGGCAGACAGACGCACTTCACCACTGAATGAACTCCACAGTTATAAACAGGACCTCTGGGGACATGGGGAAAGGCAAGGAACATGTGTTGGAGCTGGCTTTCCATGATCTACAAGAATATTATGGGAGGCATTTTTGCTTCAGGACTTTGAGCTCCAAAGAAAGAGCAGCCATGTTTCTGGCAGGATGGGAGTGGAACTCTGAGAAAGGTGAGCCAGAGTGGGTTCTGTTTCTCTCCATTCAGATTCCACCCCTGACACTAATTGAGCCTCTCTGAATGAACCAGCTGGAAGGAAATGTGAAAGCTGAGTAGAGAAAGCCAAATGTGCATGAACCAGAGGGGTTGTTAGCAAGCAGCTAGTTCAACCCCTCATTTCCAGCCCCGAAAAGGTGTGGGGAGGTCTGGGTCTTTAGGACAAAGAGTACATCTGCTAACTCCCTTTTTCTCCTTCTCTAAAAAAAATCACATCTTTGCATTTTAGACTGAATTCACTGCCTGTTGCAGAACCTCATCATCACTGGTGACGCTTACAGTCAAGCGACTTCACCAGGAATGTTCCTCTGAGTGAACAGGTGCGGGCCTCGCTCAGTCAATACCCAGACCATTCCCCCTAGCTGCCGGTCCCCACATGAGGCCGGCTCTGCCGTTGGCAGAAGTCTGCCTGCTTACTACTGTTTGACATCCGCATGGCTATTTATTTGGCCACATTAGGCTCTGCCTTGTGTGACACAAAATCATTGTAAAATAATGCATTATTAAGTGTGTTTTCAAATGAGGGGGGAATAACCAGCACGCTGTCAGTGATTGTTTTATTGTTGGGAGGGAAATAAATAAGTAAAATGTGGACAAGGATGGCAGAAGTTCCTCCAACGCGTGTTTCAAACAGAGGCACTTGTTACGTTTTATTGATGGAGGTTTGTAAAACGTGGTTCGGAGTGAACCGACGGCAGTCGTGTAAATAATTGGCACACGTGCATAGCTTGTTATTTCTTCTATTGACACAAATGTGATAAATCCACTGTAGTATGTGCGTTGGCTTAGATTAATGGACATGCGGCAAGACATACAAAAAATGAAGATCCGAAATGCAGACATAACTTCCTGGCTGAAATTTGAGTGTTCAAGACAGTTGACAGTTGGCCAAGTCAACTGTTAGCTAGTGAACAACCAAAGAGTGCTCTGGGCAAGGACGTTGATGTTTGGACATCGTGTTGATCAATAGAGGATCTCCTTGGTATTGGAAAGGGACCAGGATTCCCATTCATCGGTTTCTACAACGGATATATAAGCATAAGCCATCAAAACATAGGGGTCTGGGGAGACGGCTCCGTTAGAACAAGGGGGACCTGAGTTCAGACACTTGTTCTAATGAGTGTGAAAGCCAGGTGTGGTGGGGTATCCCTGGGACACCAGCTTTGTGGGCACAGAGACAGGCAGGTCCTGTGGTCTTGCTAGGTGAATAGCCTAACAAATTGGTGAACTTGAGGTGCAGTGGAAAGACCCTGTCTCAAATAATAAGGTGGAGAAAGATAGGAGTTACCCGAAGTATCTTTGGCCTCCAGACACACAGTACATGTGATGGAGCACATATATATGCACATACACTCTCTCTCACACACAGGATGGTATGACTGGTACATCCTACTCACATGTTGTCTCATGCGGCTCTTACAAAACCCTGGGAAACTTTAGAACATGTTTTAGTCTTAGTCTTATCATCATTTTCAGAAAATTGTTGATCCTCCAAGTATATCCTGACTTAAATAGCAGTGAATTCCAAAATTACTAATATTCTCCAGGGCCTTTCTTCCATTCACTTGAGAAGCATTTGTTGAGTGCCTAGTATGTTCCAAGTCTGGGAACAGTAGTGACTAGATCCAGAAGTATACAATAAGTATATATATATATATCATATATATATATATGATATATGTATAGAAGAAATAATAGAAGAGAGGGTGGGAAGTGAGAGGGTGCTTTATAATGAGTGCTGTGTCTAAGGAGATACATGGGTAGACACATGTACAAAGGGAAATGGAAGGAGTGGCCACATATTTTTGAGGTGAGGTGAGATAACCCATGCATGCAGAGCCCTGGGGTAAGAGTGCACTGGATGAGTTTGAGGAACAGCGAGGAATCCTCTAAGACTGAGCTTGTGGGGAAGGGAAAATGGTTAGAAATGGAATCAGAGCACGAAGCAGGGGTCAGATCCTATGGAGTCCTTTGAAGACAGGCTATAGAAAGAAGCTTCCAGGGGTGAACTGTCAATCTGACTGATGTGTGAAGGACAGATTGCAGGGAACCCAGCTGGGTTTCCACAGACAGCAGTCGTCAGGCTGAAAGGTGATGGGGAGGAAGACGAGAAAGCATACAGTTCCAGTAGCGTCATCACGACTTGTGGATGGATTGACAGGAGGTGCAAGACTGCTCTCAGCTTTTGTCCTAAGCAGCTGAGCGAGCATTTGTATTAACCTCTGCAATCAGGTTTAGGTAAAAGGTATAAACAGTCTGGGTTAGCCCATATGATGTCTGAAAGGCTTATCAGGTACAAAAATTGAGATCTGACGTGGATGAGTGGATCTATTCTACTTTTAGATGAGTGAGTGGAGATATAAATCTCAAAAGGTAACGCAAATATCCTACAGATTTTTTTTCCTTTAAGGTTGAGCTTATTTACACATCAGGCAAGGAGAAATTCACTGAGTGGTTCTCCAAGGAGAAAAAAAAAATCTGAGTGTTTGAAGGCGCTAATGTACCTGTGAAGGAATGTGTAGATCTAGATTGCTGTAAGTTTCTTTAAAATCGGTCTCTTTATTGGTCAGCGAAGACTCCTCGGTTAGGTCCTGGATACCTTGAACTTTTTGGTGTTGATCATTGTTAGTTGGCACAGTACAATGTTTAGCTACAGAATTTCCCTGGCAAGGGCTGGCAGGACACGGAGACTTCTTCCTGTTCAATCTGGAACATCGG